TCAGCTCCCTATATCAACGCGTGAGGAGTGGGAGGAGAGAATACTTTCGTGCTCGTGATAACCCCCGTGGACTGGATGCCCCCGACAGTCTCATACGCCAACGCGCCGCACAGGTATGGATCGTTCGAGAAACCTATTGACAGTTACTCCCGGTCGTAGATGTTGATATAGGAAGGCCCCTACCTTCCCAGTTTCGTCCGCCTGAGGCGATTCGCCCTAGGGGTCCTACAACAGGACCAAGCGCGATATTGACTCCCTTAGCTCGGAACTCGCCGCCCACTGCAGCAATTAGCGAATGCCCTTAGCCTCAAGTTATCACTAATTAGGTCGTTGAGCATATGTATCACGTACTCCCAACTGCTCTCTTATGAGCCAGCTCTCGGTTCCAGCTGCGGCTTCGTAAGTATTTACACACTGCCGAATTAGTCTAGCGAGAACTTACCTCGCGCCTACCGATATGCCCGCCGGCCAGCTCGAGACGAAATTCGTTGTCCTCGGCCCGTTGCCCGCATCGCTGAGGCAGAGACCGGTGAAGTTGATTCGCGGTATGGGAGGGATGGTCCCTGAGCAAGAACTCTTCGCCGAGACACCGCCCGTGAGAGCTACCTATTTCCTCGTATTAGAGAAGTCCACAGAAGCCCCCTGCCTGTTGCTGTTGGCGCACCTTTTCTTCGAGGTTCAATTGAGACACGGCTGCTTTCGCTTGTGCATAGGCATCTGCCCAGTCACCCGTCCCCACGCCTTGTGCTGGAATAGTTGTTAGTGGACTTTACGACTTTGCGTGCGACAGACTAAAGGGTTACGAACGCGCTGGGTAAACAGGAGGCGATTGGCCATAGAAGAAAGTGTCATCTGTGATGACGTCCTGCCCCAATACCAGAGTGATCAGGCAAACGATCGGGTATAGCGTAGAAGAACGCATGGCGACGGGAGCCGCATATAACGTCAAGGTTCGTTGCTATGTAGGGCACGAGCTCTGCACCCACAATGACCGGCGAACCCACCAGTATTAATACGCAGTTCTACGAAGAGATTTATAAACGTGCCGTGTACCCAGCCATCATAGTAAATACATTGTATAGGCGTGGAGCCTGCCGCATCGGCATGGACGCCGTTACCTCCCCGCGCGACGAACATGATGCAATGGTACCGGTGACGTTTAAATGTTGGGGTAAGACAAGGGGGGCGGCGTATAGAAAGAGCGGCTCAAGGCCGTCGGACGCGCAGCAGTCGTATGATTCACAGCAAAAGTGTCAATAAAAGCATCGCTTGGGCATAATTGGCTATAGGATCATGGGCTGGCGACGGAAATATTTGGTAACTCATTCGTATCGCGCAACCCGCAGTAGCATCCATGTAACCCGCGGGGAGCATCGCGCATCGGCAGTACGGACTGCAGGAGAATAAAAACCGATATTCCCCAACGCCTAGCGAATCGCGGCGCCAGGCACGCGATGATCTTACCCTATCCCGCGTGTTGATGGCGTGTGACGGGGTTGTATTGCCTTCGGTCAACATGCACCCCGCGTCTGTCCCGGTTTATATGTTACATTATTGTGGACGGCGTCGATTGCGGGGGAAACAGCTTGGTCATCAATACATTGGCAAGACGAGCTCATAGTACTCGTAACGTGGAAGGACGATATACCGTACGCTGCGCGAGGATGTGAAAGTTTTCAATTAAAATTCATATGATATGACAGTCTCTCAGTGTTTAGCCACCTGTTAGCTACATCGCCCATTTCTAGTACCCAATACGAGCTCTTTGCTGATGTCTCTTGCGTTATCTTTCAAGAGGTCAAGGTCATGAGCGACATCGAAGCAATCATACATTCGTTATAATGACAATTGGTACGGAGATAAGGTTGGGGCTAGCTCGGTAAAATAGGATGATAGCAACCCAGGTAATATCTTCAAATGAAAATTCCTCTAAAAAAAAGTATTATGTGTACAGCGGAGGCTAATGTCTGGCCGGTAATCTCAGTTCCTATCCCAGTAGGGACAGACCAAGACCGAAGGAAATAATAAAGAAAGCAGAGACCCAGACATCCAACTTAGCCTTAGCTGCATTGCTCGCGCTGGTGCTCAGGGTGGTTGGATGGGACTCGTTCGCCGAAATTGAATCTGGGTGGCTGTATCCAGGCGTGATCCACGCAATTGATGTTGTCGGCTTCGGTTTGGTTGTTGTAATTGACACGGACGGCGACCCTGGTGCCGTTTTCTCAGCGACAACATGGTCCGTCGTCTGTGGCGCCGCCGTCACGCCCATCATCATTTTGTACTGGGAGGCCACACCAGTCGGCAAGACATCCAGGTCAGTGGACTCCCACTGCACCGTCATCTGGTCGTGCTCGATCCAGAGCTCGGGTGGCAGCGTTGTGTATACGTCAGCCGTAGATATGTTGGGATCGAGAAGGAATGCCATGGGGCTCGTGATGGCCGAAGTGCACAGGTATCCAGAATCAACAGACATGGGAGCAAAGCCGCTGGCATCATGTTAGTCACGAGGTCTCGAGGGCAACGGAGCCGCACACCTACCTTTGGCAGCATGCTGCGGTATAGACCGTCTTGCCATCTTTGGTCTCGACGCCATGCTTCACGATGTCCATATGGGCCGGGCAGACGCCCGGACTGAAGGTAGGATAGGCGGTCGTGTACTGGGTTGGTATACATTTGGTAAAGGAGGGATCTACCCAGCCACTGCTAGGCGGTATGATACTCGTACCGGGCGCATTGTCGTCAACGTAGACGGCAAAGCGGTTAGCGCACCAAGACGAAGGCTCAAAAACCGTTGTCAGTGCTGCCATAGTAAGTAGGCCGTCTCTGTGTTCTCCGCGGCCTCCGTGATCTCAGTGCCGAGTTGGATGTGGTAGAGCGGACTCGAAGAAATGAACAGAAAGAATTGGACAACTTTAGGATGCTTTGTGTCTCAGTGTAGCCCTCTGTTCACCATCGCACAGGTAAGCTGTGGTGAGCGAGACGGGGATCTACTTCCGTCCCTTTGTCTCGAGTGGCAGCTCACGGATGCGAAGGCATAGCCCTCTCAACATTACGTGGAAACGACTGTATGTCACATTTGACTTTAATTGACTTTAATGCCCGCTTTACGCGGCCTGTCGTTGACATTGACATAGCAGGAATTACCTGAAGTATGTCGTCAACAGCTGGGTCTAGAAAGTACGTTACCCCGCCGCTACAATAGAACTTGCTTTCTAAGGTGTACGTGTGCATGTGGACGAAACGTGGTTCACGGAGAGGTGACGAATACTAGGCTGGAAAGCACTCCGATGGGGGGAGTGAGTGATGAGTTCGGGCTGCTGTTTTCATGCTGGATGGCGTCGAAACTGCATTCAATTCTAATAATAGGTAAATGCCTCGAGGAGATTCTAGGTCTCACCTGGACAGCTCACAGCAGAGAGACAGGCATCTACCTATCTGTGTAAGGTTTACTTGGGTGCCCATGTGGTGTACCTCTTATTCGGGTGTATGGATATAGGGGTTATGAGACCCTGTTAATCAATATTCAACAATGCGTATTAGGTATCATGTAGTTATGCATTAATCAGCAACTCTACTCTATGTGTGTGTCAGGCACCTTCACATGTAGGTAGGTCAATGACGACATGTCCAAGTCCACACCGCAAAATGGCGCCCGTATATAAGATTGCGTTAATTCAGCTTCACCCCAAGGTCAGTGCAATTCTCCCTTGACGAGTCTCCCTGCTTTGATTTAGTCAATTCACTCGCTTTAGGGAAGAGATGCAATCCCACGCCCTCCTTTCCCCGCAACTCACAGGGCACAGGCCACAGTCCCAACTCCATGCAGCCCCTTTAACTCTCCTTACACATGAGGGATATAGAGAAGGAGGTCTACTCACGATTAGGATAGCCGTTATTGCCTGTTCAAAATTTCGAGAAATCTTCGTCGTTCATACGAGAGGCAGCTAGTAAAGGCTGCCACCTAGCCGTTCTGCCGGAGTATCACCTCACTTCTTGGGTTCCCGACGAGCCGGGTTTTAAGGAGTCATGTGCAGATGCTCCCATGTACCTGCAAAAATACCAAGATTTGGCGAAGAACCTGAACATCTGCATTGTGCCGGGAACCATCCTTGAGTCACATGGTGACTCCCTGCAAAACATCGCTTATTTTATCTCGTCGAATGGCGATATTTCCGCGCGATACCAGAAGAAGAACTTGTGGCACCCGGAGCGCCACCACCTTGTATCGTCCGCTCATGAGCCACACACCGCTTTCGATACGCCCCTCGGGCGCGTAGGTCTGCTTATCTGTTGGGATTTGGCCTTTCCTGAAGCATTCCGGGAGCTCATCGCCGACGGCGCCCGGATCATATGCGTGCCGACTTTCTGGAGCTTGCGGGACGTGTCGGATGAGGGCTACACCCTGAACCCCGATGGCGAAGCAGTTTTTCTAAACAGCACTGTCGTATCCCGCGCATTCGAAAATACCTGCGCCGTGGTGTTCGTTAACAGCGGCGGCCCGCCCGAGAAAGGGGAGAAAACGAGGTTTGCGGGCCTGAGTCAAGTCAGCGTCCCCCATATTGGCACGCTGGGGCGATTAGGCCGCGCTGAGGGCATGTCTATCGTCGATTTGGACATGGACGTGCTGAGGGTTGCTGAAGCGAACTACAAGGTGCGGGAGGACAGTAAGTGCTCTCTATTTCACTTCGGAAGATTGCCTATTCTTCAATGTCCGATGTGTCCTTCTAGTTTACACACCGAATACATTTCTCTACCTTGCCGAAGACACCCTTTTGCGATTGTCAATCACTAATCACAGTATGGCTTTATGTAGTGCAAGCCGAAGGATGGCATTACGCTTACACAAGGATCCGGGACGGGAGCAAACTATAAATGCGAGTAAATCAACTCATAGGCTTAGTACCAAGCTTCTTTTTATGGGCACTTTTCTTTTTGAAAGAAAAAAAAGAAGAGAAAAAAAAACAATTAGGATTTCATCTTGAGAGCAAAAGAATCGTTACTGCCTCCATCCCGGATCGAACGAGAGACCTTGTCATAATCTTGCACTTCTAGCATACAAGTGACACGCGCTACCACTACGCCATAGAGGCAATTCCTTATTATAGGATGGTTGGAAGCCTCATTGAAGTATCTACATATTCGAAGTACAAGGCGGTCTCAAAAGGTATAGACAGTCTTTGAATAGTGAGGACGTGGGATACTGGGTGGGCATCAGTAAGATCGGGAGGTGTTTAATCTCTTTGGTTATGCTTGTGTGGGGAGCAAACATCATGGAGACTGGGTCTGAACGAAACCTCGGTTCTTATCATTCTCATCTATATTCTTAGCCAATGGCAATACTAACAGGCGACCTGCGGTTTGCCACCTTCCTCGGACCGTATAAGTGGTCTTGGGACACGAGAGCAGTGACACCATCATTACCTCAGGGGTCAACGTCGTCAATTGTCTTGGGGACTGGGTCCTCCTTCTTCTCCTCATACCCAGCCTCCGTCTCGACAGCGGTGCGATTTGAGACTGTCCATACCGTTGGCAGAACAATGAGGAGGGATCCGATGCATAGGCCCCAGTTCACCCCCAACTGCGTCAACGCGCTTACGTGGAGCGCGTTGATCCTCCACGCCATCGCACCGCCGGTAGCTTGGAAGGTCTTGTATGCTCCAACAAGGATGGCAGCTCGGGCGGAACTATTCGACTCGGTACCAATGAGCCAGTACGCAAAACCTTGCCACAGCGCGTCGTAGCCTCCATAGAAGATGTACAGGATGATGGGTCCAGTCGAGATCCTTCCCTCTGTGTAGTCGATGTCTTGGATGTGACCAGCGGCTATACGCTTGTTCTCCCATAGCTGGAATGCATACCCCCCTCCCCAAATGGACAGGCCAGTGACAATGAGCACGCACCAGCCGATACGAGCCCGCATGTTTCGGCTAAACCAGGGCAAGTCAAGAATGAGTCCGATGATAAGACCACCAAGCATTTGCGCTATCCAGTAGAGCGCACCGTTTAGGGAGCGGGTACGGATGTTAAATGTTCGTCCATTGACCTCATTCTGTTGGTAGCTATAGAAGACGTTGGCGGAGTAGAACAGCGGAATCATGCAGGCGACGCGCCACTTTGTTAAGGTTTTGATCGCCATCTTGAGGGTGCCCTTGATGCTCCGCTTCTCGGTCTCGACCGCGTTGTTTAGCTGGGCAAGTCGGATGCGCGATGGCGAGCAAATAAAGAGGCCGAGAAAATATCCGAAAATCATGATAACCAAGAGGGCAATGTACGTTGTGTCGGTGACCGTGCCGCTCTTGGACTTGTAGTTCAGGCCAAAAGAGACTAGGGAGCCAATACCACCGCCAAGGTTAAAGATGATCCAGAAGACCGCGATGGCCCTGCCTTTCTGTGACTCGTCTACGTATGTAGTCATGATGGCCCCTTGGACGATCCAGATAAAGGAGGCTCCGATACCCAGAATAGCACCCGAGGCGATGACAAACGCACCGTTCGCATAATGGTTGAAGTGCAGCAAGCTGCCGGTGTAAAGGGCATAAGTCCATCCGCCTATGAGGAAGCAGATGCGAGGCCCGACCCACGAGAAGATCGGCCCTACAATGAACAGAGCTGTCGCCGCAGTGGTAGATAACAACGCAACGTTGGCGTTGGCAGCAACAGTCGGGTCGACTTGCCCGGATCCTCCAATACCACTGAGAGCATTATATATCTGGGAGGTTTAGTATCAGGATGGGCGTATTGGTTATTATTATAGTTTTCCTACTTACACCAGGAAGGCAGAAACAGATCAAGCTGATAAGCAGAATCTGGGTCCATGGATGCGAATAGAAGCGTACCAACTTGGATGACTGTAGGCCATCGTAGGGTTTCAAGGCCCAACCCATTGCCAAGAACCCAAGGACCCATGGGCCCCCATGGGCCCCCATGGGTTGCCAAGGCTAGTTGGGTTGGGTTG